AGATTTTGATGAGTAAATTCGATATTTTGAAGAGTAAATTCTAAGTTTTGAAGAGTAAATTCTATGTTTCGAAGAGTAAATTCTAATATTTTAAGAGAAAATTCTAAGTTTGAAGAGTAAATTCCAAGATTTGAAGAGTAAATTCGATATTTTGAAGAGTAAATTCTAAGTTTTGAGGAGTAAATTCTATGTTTCGAAGAGTGAATTCTAATATTTGAAGAGAAAATTCGAAGTTTGAAGAGTAAATTGCAAGATTCGAAGAGTAAATTCGATATTTTGAAGAGTAAATTCCAGGTTTTGAGGAGTAAATTCTATGTTTCGAAGATAGGCCGTATTCCCTGACCGCTTTTCGTTCAGTTTTGTTGCCCCCCTTCGGGCACTACTTTAAATTCACACGAATCTATACATTTTTATACGCTGAGTACGAATTCACTTGTTGTCACTCGCACAAACCTGCAGTTTTTTTGTATTTTACGATCAAACATCAACATATTTTATTAAAATTTCCGCCATTTTGTTCAGGAAACTTCATGTTATATACAATTATTGTACTAGTTCAAGTCTCTTAGCAGGGGGGTTGCACGCGGTATTACGCATTTTTATCATTCTTCTGAGGAAAATATACGTACAGAAATATATAGATATTTTTTCACAATATTAAAATGCAAAAGGTAATAATACATGTTTGTATATAATCAGGAACTAATCTACTATTCTTTATTGCGCCAACTTTTGGGTTTTTGGCCTCACCTTGATGTGAAATTGCAAAGACTGTCACTATATGGTCTATATCCACAAAGACTCACTTGACTTGTCCTTGGTAAAGTCGTTTATTTTATTTATTACTGAAATTATGCACATAATTTTAGCCTTACAATGTGAATAGGCAATTTTTCTTTCAAATTTTTGTTAACAACGAATAAGGAGCACAATATACTTGTTGTTTAATTAATAAATGTTAGACCTATTTGTTTTTTAGTATACAATGTTAGACCTAGTCACCTAGGTAATTTATTAACACAAATAGACCATTGCCCATTAGTAGCAGTTGACTTTAACAATCAAATTAGCTCATCCATTTAGTAAATCTGCACATAATGAGTTCCATCACAGTTAATAGAATAGATGGTTTGGCTGAAACTCTCAAACTCATTATTTATGTTAGTCAACATTTATTCATAAATCTGGTCCTTCATCCTCATGTGTGTATTGTATTCTTGCCAAATCCACCTTGTATTCTTGCAATTTTCAATTTACCCTATTGTTCGAGTTACGGATAGGTAACGTTCCTAAGACATTGCTATTGGTTAGTTGGGAAAAAATATAGAGACCAGATTTATGAATAAACCAGTGGTGTAACTTTACTTTTTTGACCATTTGCTCTCAGGGCAAGTTAATTGGACATGAAAATTAGTTGCCCTGAATAAAATTCATTTGCCAGGGGGTATAAATCAAGGGGGAACATGTCGACTCATTCTCTATGTGGCTATGTTATACTGCCTTAGATCTAGCTTTGGCCCACAAAAAACAAAATTTGAATCAAGTACATGCGCCATAAAAAAATTATCCGATAATGAAAGCCGAGCTTTTTGTGGCAAGAGGCAACTTGCCCAATCGGGCAAGATAAAACGTTTATAGATATTCACTTGCCCCAGGCAAGTGTTAAGTTACACCTCTGTAAACGTTGACTAACATACCTGTAGATAATGAGGTATATATATTGTTATTCTAATGAGTTTCCAAACCATCTATTCTATTAACTATGGTATGTTCCATTTTCTTGTATTATAATAAAATTTTTGCTATCATGACATTGAGCTTTGTAAAAAAAACTTTTGGAAGATGTCTTTCACTCTAAGACAGATTGACAGCTTACTTTTGGTCTGTTTATATGGAGTTAACCCAGCCTAGATTAGCCATATTTTTTTAATCACTTTATTGTTATTAAAGTATTTACATTAGCAAATGGTGGCCATACAGGACATAGCCCCAATTGATTACAGCTACAATAGCTTGCTTGGTGTTTCAATTTATGTGACACTGTTGAGGCAAGCATATGCATGGGCTTGCTGGAAGAAAGGTACTAAGCAAAAAATTATATTCACACAAGCAAATCTCAAAGTCATGCCACCTAGAGACATGAATTGGTCGAGCCATTTGAATTGGTTGAGCCATAATGAGGTTTAACAACATATTGTCATGATACATCCTCACCTTAATAAGCTCTAATCCTATTTGAGCTGCCACTCATTACCAAGCACTTGGAGGAGGGATACTTTATTAATTTATATTTGGCCAGGCAGGCACTAGAAATTTAATTAAAGTAATCTGGGATCACTATACCTACCAATATGCATTAGTTACACAAACCTTCTTTCCAGTTGGGCTAGCCTAGCTGCCTAGCCAAGACTCTTTTTTTCCATGCCTTAGATCTTGGATAACAGCTGGGCATTAAATAATACTCTATTCACATCAATCTATTGATGTAAATAACATTTCTTCATTTCCTTAGGGGGTACCCAAGCCAGCCGGATACCCGAGCTAGCTCGCTTTGCCAAGATCTAACGTCGCTATGTAATTTAAACTAATATTCATCTTGCATTTATATGGAACTGGGCTGGCCTGTCAAGGCAAGATCTTGAGAAGTAAAAAATATTATATTATACTATTTATAACAGTGATCTGTTTTGGCGAACCAGCCCGCCTCAAAAGTCTCTTGTAAACATGGGATGAAATCAACTCGGGTTACCTGGGCTGGCTCGCCTAGGAGATTAGAAAGTTTCAAAGTTAAAATTTATTTTGAAATCTCTCTGAGGGATAAAACCTTCAAAACTTTATTGTTGACAAAAATTTCAGGTAGACAATACCCAGGAAAATTGCCTATTCACATTGCAAGGCTAAAATTATGTACATAATTTCAATAATAAATAAAATAAACAACTTTACCAAGGACAAGTGAGTCTTTATGGATGACAAGAACAGTAGATTAGTTCCTGATTATTTACAAACATGTATTATTACCTTTCGCACTTTAATATTGTGGAAACATATCTATATTTTTATTTATTTCTGTATATTTTCCTCAGAAGAATGATAAAAAATGCGTAATACCGCGTGCAACCCCCCTGCTAAGAGACTTGAACTAGTACAATAACTGTATATAACATGAAGTTTCCTGAACAAAATGGCGGAAATGTTAATAAAAAATGTTGATGTTTGATCGTAAAATACAAAAAAACTGCAGGTTTGTGCGAGTGACAACAAGTGAATTCGAACTCAGCGTATAAAAATCTATAGATTCATGTAAATTTAAAGTAGTGCCCGAAGGGGGGCAACAAAAATCGTTTTCTAAGCGACTTTTGGGGCCAGGGAATACGGCCTAATATGCAGCGCAGCTGTATTTATACTTATTTAATAGCGGTAATGATTATATCTAAAACTACTAACGCCACAGCCTTATGTAAAGGATTTGAACTCCACTGGTACTAATTTTGCCAAACTCTGCCATTGTGAGGTTAAATTGCTGAGGAATGGATTAGAATAACTGCTTGCATGCAATAAACAATGTACAGCAGCGCCTGAACAGCCAGTCAGTTTAGTTGATTAGTTTGCACTAAATTGATGCATTAAGACAAATGAAATACACTTAATATGTGACACAAGTCATATAAATGAGCTGTGAAAGACATTGTGCCAAGGTCATAAACCCATGTTACGACTCACGAAATATATTATAATAATTAGTACGTAGGCATATAATAATTAATTGGTATATGTAAGCATAAATTAACTATATTCAAATGCACAGTGCTTCCATTTCTAAGGAAATTTCCTGATTCTCAGGAAATCCCGAGCTAAAAAGGAAATTCTCAGGATAAGAAAAAATCTAAGGAAATCTCAGGAAAATCAGGAAATTGACGAAATTGACACAAATTTAATGTGAAATCTTGAAACGAGAATTAATTTTCTTCATTTTGGTGTGATAACTAACAAATCAGTTTGTTTCTGCAGTGTTACACGACGTGCTTGCACTTGTCTTTGCTGCCGCTGACCAGTTCCCCAAAGTGCAGGATCCTTCTTTCGTAATTGTAAATCATTGAAAATGTTACTGTAAAATCTAGATCTAAAATGTAAATAATTAAAAAACCGGAAAATTTTTGAATAATGAATAATAGCAATAATTCCGACAAAGAGTTCAATGCTAAATCTCCATAAAGCAATGAAGACAGATGTTTATAATGATTAGGTAGCTGAACTGAGAAACGAATTTATTAAAACACTTAACAAGCCATGATAAGACATTGGGACCTATTTCATAAAGTGTTACTTGTTATTTGCTATTTTGTTATACTATACTTTTTTATAGTCACATAGCAAGTGTTGCCAGTTTGATAAAAAGTTGAAACAAGTCTTTGATATTTTCATTAGCCATTGCTGGTCCATTGATATTCCTGTTACTAAGAGACTTAATGGAGAATAAAACGCGAAAACGAAGCATATTGTGCCAAAGTTTTAAATTTCTAGCATGAAAGTAACTTAAGGAAATATTAGGAAATTCATGGAAAAAAAATCAGGAAATATCAGGAAATTGTCATCATCGAAAAAGGAAATCTCGATTTTGGTTATGGAAGCACTGCTGAAATGCAGAGAAGTGTCGGGGGCTGTAAAAGTGGCATGGGCACACTTAGTGCCCGCCAAAGGTGGGTGACGGCAGGGGACATTCTAGGGGGTCCGGGGCCATGCCCCTGGAAAAATTTAAAACTAGAGTCTCTGTAGTTTTACAGAAAAAAATGTCAGGAAATAAGTTTTTAATCAGGATTTCATGATCGACACAATCAAAGGCATTTTTTAAATCAACAAAAATAATTCCATTTAAAAGACCTTTATCCATATTCATATACCATTGGTTTGTATTGTTCAAAAGATAAGTTGTGGTTGCATGAGCTCTTTTTCTTAAACCTGCTTGGCTATCTGCCAGCAAGTGGTTAGTTTCTAAATAATCAATTAATTGCCTGGAGATGAGCTTCAAACACTTTTGCTACAACAGATGTAATAGATATTGGTCTGTAATTACTACATTCTAGTTTGCTATCCCCTTTATGTATAGGAGATATGCATGCAATCTTGAAGTCATCAGGAAATATGCCTTTTTCAATGGATTTATTAAATATATTTGTGAGAGAATTGGCAATAACTTCTACACTATCTTTCAGAAGTTTTGGTGATATTCGATTGTGTCCAGTATCTTTTGAGGTTTTAATCCTCAAAATTTCACTTGTAACATCCAAAGCAACAATTTCTTGAATTTCAAATGTAGTGTTAATAGGGTTGATATAAGTTTCAAAACAACTATGCCCACTTGGAAGACTACTTGCCAGAGCTGGTACAATTTCATTAAAATAATTATTCATAGCATCTGCTATTTGGTCTGGTTTTGTGATAATTTTTTGGTCAATGACCAATTCATTAATATTTGTTGTTTTCAACTTCTTATTTGTGAGTTGATTGATAGTTTTCCACATAGATTTTGGATCTTTTTTTTGCAAGAATTTATGGCATTACTATAATAGTTGGCTTTAGTATTCCATAGTCAACAGAGGCAGGGGGTTTGGAAGGCCGGCAAACTTCAAAGGCTTTTGAGATAATTTCAGATGTTGGAAAGGTATGTCACATGACATTATGGGTGCATCAAATTCAGAAATTACTAGAGAGTAGTATTACAGAAATATGATATTGTGCCTATAAATTTTAAAATAAGGCATATTGTTCTTGCTGTGGCCTCGACAAGTTCGGCACATGATTTAGAAATCCAAATCTCAACTTTTCTGGGTTCATGCAGAAGTTGTCAATATAACAAAATACAATAAATAGTGAGATATGTTAAACATAATCTATGTCTTCTATATTTGTTTTAGCTTCAAGGTTTAAAGCAATATCCTTGCGAAAATTGTTCGAAAGTCTGCAAGTCTAAAGGAGGGCATACAAAGCATACTTGCAGCAAACATGATCAAAATGATGTTGAAGCTGGTAAAGCAGAAGGTATTAAAGCTGGTGCTTCTAAGAAAGAGAAAAAGGAAATCCCAAGCTATGCAACAGAGAAGATCTTGTCGTTAATTTGCTAAATAGGGAAAAGTCTGACAGATGAAAAAATCTATCCAACCAAACAAGTAGCTTGCAGTGTTTACGTTACATCCCAGTAAATCATTCATTCAAGATGTGAATGCTTTATTACACAAGTTTCATTGCAAGAAAGATTGTGATAAATTGATGCAAGAGTACTATGGGAAAATGTATGCCTCCTGGAAAGAATATTTTCATGCATGTAAAGATAAAAAAGTGGTATTTTTAATGCTAAAAAAATTACCTGAACAGTTAATCATCTAACACAAGATGGTTCTCAAGTCACCAGTCAAGATGGGTTAAGGAAAACAGTTAAACTATTATGTATTCATTGCATTTTTAATTACAAGCTGAGATAATATGCAATGATTCGCATTGATTCCTTCAACCATATCAACTACAGCACAGCATGCCTTCTTCCAAACTGGTTTGCAATTTAGCCATACTTGTCGTTTTCACTTCATTGTCTGACACCAGTTGGTTTTTCTTGTTGAAGACAAAGAGCAATTTTGGAGGATAAAGACATGTCTAAAAAATTGCCCTTATGACAAGTCTAATTATCAGAGTTCAAAGCAATTAAACTTTTCATTTCTACTTTAGAGTGAATTGTCTCACACCACAAGAACTTGGACCCTTTGCATATGTTGCTGGGTATGTTGTCCAAGCGCTATATAGAAAAAGCAAAAACCCTAAAAATGCAGACTCGCAACGAAACCAAGAAATACAAGTGTTGTTGCTTTCAATGATAGTGCCAACTGAGGAGAACAACTATATTTTTTCACAGAGGAGCACAGTGGGCACCAAATTCCTGGTTGATAAATATTGCCGAAATTGCTGAACTGGCAAACCTTCATCATTACCTGTGGACAAAGTTGTTGAGGATGTCCAAGCTTCTCCTTGGGCAAAGTCATCATGGAACAATATAGTTGAACAGTGTGACGTTCAAGTAACAAAAGAGTGTCAATCGCTGCGTTTTGAAAACATTGTAAAACTATATGCTACTGTGAGAGGTTTCCCGTTTGCAAGAGATATTGTAAACAAGTACAAGTTATGTGAAAAAAACCGCAGAAAAAGAAGGCTTTAGGGAAACAGTTGAAGGTCGACAGTGAACAATTATAAATATACCATTGGCTTAAAAGCTAACCTCATATTACAACCAGTATGTTTCTGGCAGGCATTAAAAACCATAGAGATGATACAAAAACCGAGGCATTAAGAACCATAGAGATTATAAAATAACCCTAGAAGGCAAAAGAATTTGGGAACCAGATTTTAATGGGGTGGAATATTTAGGGGGCTGGTGAGCTAGTAGGGGGAGGAATTGGGAATTTAAGTCTTGTGTATAAAGACACAACTGGTGGCCAATTTAAAATTTCTTGTCAATGGCACATCTGGGGATTGCCCAATTATCAGTGTTCCCCTTTTTTTACTGAATTAATATTATCATGCCCCCTCTGGTGTTATTTATAATATCTATGTTGAGAACCAGAGGACAAGCAATTAGCGAGTTGTCATGTGAGCTCTCGGCCAATGAGATCACTCTATTTTCCATTGTGTTTTCTGCAGAATATGGGCAGAAAAGTTTGTATTAGACAGAAAATCGAGAAAAAAACATTAATATTAAAATTTTCTTGCAAAATTTCAAGTGTAGTAGTATTACTGCTAAAGATCTGGTGATATCTGGAAAAATCTCTAAGGTAAAAGTTATTTTCAATGTTATTTTGATGTTTGAAGTTAGATGTTTGAAGTTACAAACCCTAACATTCTAATAAATATGTTTACAATCTTTAAAATGAAATATCTAGAATTCCCATGGTTCGATTTTCCTCATTTTTGGCAATTGTCAAGAAAAAAATATAAGCTTTAAATCTGCTGGAATGATCCTGGTGATCCCCCGGCAGTTTTCGAGATATTGGCCATTGAAGAGACTTTTTGTCAACTTGACGCTCGCTAAAATGGCATCTAATACCTTGTAAAGAATTTGTGCCATCAAAGATTATATTTTAAATGAATTTTTGTTAAAGTATTAAAATATTATTTAGAAGACTTGGGAGTTGTTTCAATATTTTTGTAGAATTTATATCTGTGCGGTTTTCAAAGTTTTTGTCTTTGGCCGACGCGACTGGATCGTGTACATATTCCCATACGAGCTGATCACCTGATCCTGTTTTTTTTTGCAAATCGAGCTGCGGAATCCTCAAGCATGGACAACTTGGTGTTATAACATCCCATTTCAAACCAACAGAGAGCTCCACTTGTTTTAAAACAATAAAATAAGATTTTATTGTAATTATGTATCATATGTCAAATTATAATTATCATAGACATGTTATTGTAGTTAAGTTATTGAAATTTAATAAATATTATGCACGAGTCAATTCCAGGAGTAGCCATTTCCCATTAATCTTGCTAATAGTGGTTAAAATTATTTAAACAATGAAATCATAAACCTTTAATAGTTGTATTTAAATTTGCATGGCACTGAGGTAATAAGTTTCGCAAAAGTGAAACCATTTGTCAAATCCTTGGGGTCCTCAGCGACTATAACAAGACCTGGCCCTGTGCATGTATATGACAGGCAAACCGGGGGTGTCCCAGGGAGGGGGGTGGATTACTCCAGGAATTGACTTGTGCATTATATAAATAGACATCTACTTGTTTTTTGTTGCATTAATTTTAATCTGAAAAAATTACAAAGTGCAAGGATATAAATTACTCATTTATTTACTAAAGCACATTTTTGCATGAGTGTACACAACAGATTGTTTTAATTAGATATAGAAAGTTATCAAGTTATCATTTATAACCCATGGTTTGTTTAAAAAATGCTGGAAAAAATCTACAAAGTTAGCCAATTGAAATAAATGCACTTCAATAACTTGCTAAACATAGTTAGTTGCTATTATTTATATAAAAAACATCTGTCAACGTACACTCATGCTTTTCCTACCACTTGAGTCTCCCATGCACTAACCATGTCTCTATGAAATTTTTTGGATAAAATCCTATTTTAAAAAAGTCAACCCTATACTTGATATGCTGAACATAGACATCCACAACATCTCCTGCAGCAATTAATGGGTGCGGATACTTGCATAGTTCAGAAGCAATATATAACCAACATGGGGCCATCCAGTTCCATAGTCTGGATCAATTACTATTGCACTTGGGTCCCTTGGATTCAATGACTCTGGCCGTATCCTTACATTCCCTGGTTTATCTTGTTCATGAAGAGTGAGGTATGCCTTTTCCAAATGATGTTGGTAGTGGTTCTCATGAGCAGCACCGATGCACTTGAATGGTACAGCCTGGATGATTCTTCCTCCTCATCACTAAACTTGTCATCACTCTCTGCCCTATCACCTTCATCACCTCTTTCATTATCATATCCATCCTGAACAGGCTCAAGAATTTAGCCAACAACTCAAGTAAATCTCTTTCTACAAAATCATAACGAGAAAATTATTATTTCATGCACCGTCATCTCTAAAATTAGCAATCTTACACAAAAGCACATGTAACCTCTAAATTCTTAATATACCTAACTGTGTTAGGTCTGTGTATTAGAACAACACACAAACATAGCAATATTTAGATGAAAATTGAAAAATATTAAACTACAGTTTGCACATTTAAACAACCATCCACAACTAGATGTCTAGATACAAACAGGCATCATACTCAGCAAAAATTTATAAAATATATACAAATAACAATACCTTCAAACTCATCTGAAAACCAATGTCCATCATCAATAATTGTATTCGCTGTCAATATATGATCCACATCGATTAGCAAACTCATCAGGAATAGGGTCAAACTAAAGGGTTGAATTTAATATTTGAAATATTGCGCCATAATTTGTACAGTGTATTTATAAAATAACAGTACAATATTGAAAACAGCAAAGCGGAAATTTGAAACAAGTCAACTGTATTGCATTGTAGGATACCAACCTTAAATACTGCGCTTGTTTTCACGTTGATGATATACGGAGTAAACGCCATCCAACTTAGAAAGAAGAGCCTTGCTAGTTGCTATTGGGAATAACACAATTCCTTCGCGGATTAATATTTATAAAGCTAAAAGACAAGCACGTCCCATGCAATTTAATATAAGGTAAACTTGGTATAGTAACTCACACGTCATAATGAGGATCGCAACAATACAGCAATAACATGCTATTTTCACGAAGTATTGCAGCCTGACAATCTTGTCTTTCGAATGCTTCCATATTTGTTTACTCAGAGTCTCAGAGAGATGTTCACTCCACGACAGTCAAAGAGTCATTGAAGCCACGCGTGGAATTAGGCGCTCAAACCCATGATGCTTTGCGGCCTGCTTGTCCAACCTCCTCTGCCCTGAAGTAGTAAATTAGCAAATACGGTTAGACAAAATAGTT